GCCCGCGTGCAGGCCCAGGCCTTCCCTCAGTGGGCCTGCACGCGGGCTAACAACAATTGTGATATTACTTTTCTTAAATTAACTGTGTTTATCCTAACCCACCCTGTCAACTTTCCCTGTGGGAGGAAACCAAAGCACCCGGAGAAAACCCACGACTTTCGGCAGAGCGTTGACTGACTCTTTCCACATGAGTCCGAATAGGGAGAATCGAATCTCAGGACTCAGAGGAGAAAGGCATTTCCTCTGATGACAGCGCCAATTACATGGATGACGTTTTGTGAAAAAATGAGAAACGGATGTGGAGAATTTTACTTCAGAAATATTTTGCATGGATTTGGGGCCGTTTTTGGTATATGTTAAGGTTAACGATGTGTCCGAGCTAGACTAGGATGGTTTCAGACTGGCTGGGTCATGGCAATTCTGATGTTTAGAGACTTTATCGCAGAGGTTGTTGAATTAATTGTATTCCCTATATAAGGAGTAAAGCATGGTTAGATCATATAGAAGTAATGCATGATATATATCTCCTTCAACGTGGGGCACTTTGAAGTGGTCTGCTGGTGTACTGAACTCACACTGTGTTCTTGAACGTGGGCTACTTAATTAATTAAAGTGATCCGACGTTGTACAAAAGTCACTTCTGAGTTCATGCCCATGTTTAGATCATAACATGATCTTGAATGTCGGTTTCCCGCTTAGAATGATTTGATGTTCTACAGAACTTGTATTTATTTAATAACTAATTCCTTAACCTCTACTTATAGAAGTAAATATACTTCCTTCCAAGGCGGAAAACTAAAGGATTAGTTGAGTCTTTAACTAATTCAAGTATCATTAATTAAACCGCAAGTATAAATGCATGCATGACCTTTCCTACAAAGGCTATAAGCTAGGATTTCTGTTAGCTCTAAATGTATTTCAAGTATGTATTAATTCAACTGCAGATATAAGGTAATTATCTCCCTATGCATCGGCACGAGTCTTAACCAACTGCTTGACCTCCAGGGAAAACCCGGATTAAAAGACTATACAAGCCTTGCGAAAGGAAAATGTTTAATTAAGAGCTGTGCACGTCCAATTGACAGCTAATGTCAATACGGAACCATTCTGGAAGTTCGGCGGCGAGAATTCAAAAAACCTGGTGGGGGGAACGTGGGATCACCAAGATAATTTGTGTAGGAAGGGATAGAAGGCAAAAGTTTCGATGGGTCATGTTGCGGTCAAACCGGAGCCACGTATTTTACAGTGATTTTTACTGCTTAGTTTAGGTAGTATGACACATTTTCTAACCCAATTACACTACATTGTCAACAACAAGTTTTACTCGCATATTCAACAAACCAGGCTGACGATGTTTTCCTGATAATATGTTTCCCTGAAATAGAGTTGAAACACTGTTGCCATCGTACGAATGTTTAAGGTGATAAGTTGCGAGAAGTATTTTCGTGCGCTTTAAATATTGATTTGGACTTGTGCTCTTCTCAGTTCACTCTGCTCATTGCAGTTGTACGTCGGAGAAAAGTGCTTTCACTTTTGACTAAATTAAGCACAGTTTTTTTCTTCTAGATTACAACTGAGAGAGCTATCCAATAGAAATATAAAATGAGTTTAATTTATAGGTTCCCTCCTCTGGCCGCGGTGCACCAGTAAGAGATCTGCCTTACTACCGGATCTCTACGAAGAACGGTTTAACTCTTCCTCGACGCAGCAGAGGAATTTTAGGCATTCGAAAAGGCGTAACATGTTTTCCTGTATAAATAATCTTAGTTGACGTTTCTGAAGTATAAATACAATGAAATTATGTCATTTTAGTATTTTTGCACAGTGAATATAACAAATCCTATAAGTTGATTGGTCAAATTTGTGAATATAATAAAACCGAAATTTGCAAAATGGTGGCTAACAGTTTTGTGAAAGTTACTGATAAACAAATAAGCGAAATTAAAATAAATTCAGTCGCAAAAAAACACACAAAAGACTTGTGTATATAAAAATACTAAAACAATTATTAGCTACGTTCCCACGTTAAACTGGCTCCCAGTCGGAAAAGGTGATTTAGTGTGGTTATGTTGTGTAAACTGGTGGTTGAAACTATATAAGGATTTCTTTTTGTGGATCACAAAATACGTGGTCGAAACCACACCGGTTAGGAAATACCCACCGATTGACGAATTCTCATGACGTACAATATTGGAAAGTAGACGCAGTGGGTCATTTGGTAGACAATAAATTAATAGAAATGACTCATGTAGATGTAGAACCCTGTAGAGTGCCAACATTTCCGAGAATGACTGTATCACTAAACCCACGAATAGACGCATAAGAACGCTCATATATGACGTACAATATTAGACGTACAATAAAGCTGTGATGAAATTTATGTCTAGATCAAAATTTAGTCTATAATGCAAATGGTCCATTAAACTGAGTTGAATTGCATGTCGTTGGATGCGGTTTAGATAACTAGGTTTACTCACTAAACTGTTACTGTTACGACAATGCAAGTAATTAAATATTCAAAACTTAAGAGCTTTTCTTTTAATCTGTTCAGTTTCAAGAAATGTCGCATGATGTTTAAAGTATGCTGCAGTGTGATTGAATTAATTGCGTCACGCGAGAAATTGAAGTGAGACATGTCATCACACGCCTCCGCGGGATTTTTCAACACCTTGTTAAACCGCGGAACAAAACTAATCGTGTTACAATTAGCCCACCCACATCATCACGATAAACTAATGTCAGACGATGTAGTTTCCGTAAAAACATTTGAACAATGAAATTTCATCAAAAACAAGAAATCGAGGAACACGGAATGGGGGATAGAAAACGCGGAATACTAAAAGAGACAAATGACTAAGTTTGGGATCTTCTGACATCAGTTTATCGTGATGATGTAGGAACGACGAAGTGTAACATGATTAACTTTGTTCCGGTTAGACATTATTATTAAATTAATTAGATCTCCCATAACGGGCTTTTCAGATCAATTTACAAAGTTATGAAAATAAAGATTAAAATATAACTATTTACATGTATAAAATTATAGTAATTGAGTGTAAGTCTAAGCAAAAATATTTGAAAGCATATTCTTTTGTTTCTTAAATTGTTTCTTAAAAGTGATAAAACTACTGGTATCTTTAAATTTACAATCTAGGTCGTTCCATAACTTTGCTGCACGGAATTTGAAAGTCCTCTGAAAGTTGTCTTGAAAATAGGACGTCTAAATCGTTCATGTAACGTGTTCTACGGTCGTGAATACTGGAACGGGTGGAGAATTTTGTGCTGAGATGATCCCTGGGTGCCATGTCATTAAGACATTTAAAAAATTCATTAATAATTCAGGAGGAAAACACAAAGAAAAATCATAAGCGTGTCATATCTTTATATGTGATAAAAAATCATGTTAATTTACATAAACAGTAGCTTTGATTTTCTCGGTTTAGTTTATTTTAGAAATTACTTCACCAATGACTTACTACAAAGTTTTGGAACAGTTGCAATTTTTTATGTTTGAGACGGATGTATTGGCCCATATCGTCGAGCAGTGAATAATTTACTTAAAACCAATGACTCTATAATTAACTTTAAACTTTGTGTCTTTATTAAAACAATGCTTTACTCAGTAAATTTGACATAATCTATTAGTTTACAATGATAAAAATCTATATTACAATATTAAACAAACTAATATAAGCTGCTATTTATAGAATAAATAAGATAAATATATTCATGCACAAACATGAAGATTTTAGGTAGATGTTTACATTTCTATCTATATGACTTCTAGTTTAGAATAGTTTAGAATAGACCTATCTATCTACATACATGCATTAGCCTTATATTGTGAGATTCACAACTATTTCGTGTTATTAAAAAAATCGGTTTCAATCAATTAATACATGTATACAAAATTTAATTATTTTGAACTCATCAATATGAACAAATTCTGTGATTGGTTTACAAATAACAATGAAACACAATAAACTAAAGAATAATTTTTTAACGAACGAATCACAGACATTTATCACTTGTATTTAAGCAAGCCAATCACAGAACATGCTCATATTAATGTTTTTCGTCAAAAACCTTTTATGCTCAGTTCAAACATCGCGCTTATCATGAGCTAGACTTGTTCCAAGTCTCTCTCGAATTCAGTTTTGATACGGTCTATCCAGTCAATTATAAGATCAATTTTATTTTCAATTGGGTCTATCCAGTCAATTATGAGACCAGTGCATGGCTTGGAAGGAACAACTGATCGCATAACACGCTATCAAAAATGGAGAGCGAGGCTTGAAGCAAGTCTAATCATGAGCTGAAGCTAACGTTAATGTCCTAAACTCATTGTTTCAGCTTCTTGGCTCGGCACATGAAAAGGTCGACGTGTGAACTAGGTCTTCGTACTTACTTATGTTTTACACTGTAATCTCATTTCTATTTCTTTCGCTGCAACGTTCACAAAAATGATCCGCGTCATCACTTTTACAGCCAAGCAAAGCGTAGAGAAATCCTTTCTTTCGACGGCAAAGAGTAAAGTCCATAATTAATATAGTAAATAATACCAACGACAGTAGAAAGGCGGCGAGGATAACTTTGCCTGAAGCAATGTAAACTAGAATCTCATAATTTGCCTCTAAACAGAAACATAAGAATTCCTGTTAATTCACGAATTCTCTATTGTGTAATTCCTCACACTCTCCATCAATCCCTTCTCGCTAATAAGCTCCCTCTCTAATAAGCCCCTTCCCCAATGAGCCTCTTCTCTTATAATCCCCTTCGCTACTAAGTTCCCTCTCTATACAGTAAATTTCCCTCTCTAATAACCCCACTCCAATATGCCCCCCCCCCCCCCCTAATACCCAATATGACCCGCTTCTCTTAAGCTTCCTCGAACCCGCCCACAGAACCGAAAAACGTATTTCTAGTGATCAGATTTATAAATTGTCCTGGAAGTTCAGTTTATTAAAGATGATCAGTCTGAACGAACTTGGGAAAAGACTGAAATGTAGTTCGCCTGATAATTTATCTGTGTACAAACACAGCAAACAAGAGAATCATTCATCAAGTTGGATTATACAGGCAAGATGGTATGGGTCGATAACTGTGAAGATTGTCTTGACAGGTAATCGGTGTGTTTGGCGGGAGTTAAATTATCAGACGAACTGTTTTTTCTTTTCCGAAAATCATCCAGATGTATCATTCGTGTCTAGTAGAAATCAGACCCTTCATTCCTTACCTTGATCGCTCGAGTTTCCAACTGAAGCTTCTAAGGATGAGCTTTCGGACTTCCGTGAATGATTTTCACCTTGTTGTTGTGTTTTAGCTCCGTCATAAGCCTTGCATAAAATATCAGTTGTAAGCGGGACAATAGGATTTTTACCAGACAACAACGCAGTTTCCTTATCAGACGGTTTATCTTGTACCACTACGCAGCCAGGCAAGCACTGTTGGTACGGCAAATATTTAAATGGTGAGGTAGCGCTGGCACGGTTTGGATGGAGTTTATACCTTGGTTGAGCACTATTGCAAACGTTACACGCACGTATCAGATTGACTGGATTGTTCGTATAGTTCGCATTGAAATAAGCTTCTGACACTGCAAGAAAAATTCATAGGGATTAAAGTTACGGTGTAATAACCACCTTTCCTTGCAGCTAAGATTACGTAAAACGTCATTGAATCGAAGGCTGACTAATGCGGCTCGGGTTCTCGCCATGAAGTGCAGCTAAGGCGGAATGGTTGCTTTTTGGTAGGAGAGGAAAACCCAGGGCAGAGATCCCGGAGAATTTCTCTCTCCATGTACAGGAGAGAACTGAGAACCAAGCACAGCCCGTTTTCCGCCGGGCGAATTTGTTCACGCGCAGCTGCTTTGTCAGCATTGCTCATCACGTCAGAAAGAGTGATGCAGACAAAGACGCTTCGTGCGAACAAAGGCGCCAGGAAAACGCGCTTTACACTACGAGTTTTCAAGCGCACCAAGTAATTAACAATGCCCTAACAAAGACATTAGACTGTATTGCGCCGTAAAACATCACTGAGTCCAAGGCTCACTGATGCGCTTAGTTTGTCACCATGGAGTGCATGCAGCTAAGGTGGAATAGTTGCTTTTTGTGAGAGACAAAAACCCGGGGTAGAGATCCTGGAGAAAATCCCTCCATGTAAGGGAGAGAACCAAGCACGGCCCGTTTTCCACCGGGTGAATTTGTTCACGCGCAGTTGCTTTATCAGCATTGCTCATCAGGTCAGCAAGGGCGATGCCGACAAATTCGCCGGTTCGCGCGAACAAATTCACGTTATTCACCAGGTGGAAAACGCGCTTTACATGAGTTTTCAAGCGCACCAAGTAACAATACCCCCACCTAGATATTCAGTATCGCAGTTTTAACTCCTATATATATATGAACATGTTTTAGGAACATCAGCCTATATTCATGATAGGTTGAATATAACAATAAAACTATATTAGAAATTTTCTAAAGAACGAAAAAACGTTAATCACAAAAACATGTTCATTGCACTAACCTTCTTTATTAGCTACGGTTTTATACAGTTTACTATTCCTGTATTTAAAGGTGCCACATTGACAAGACGTGTGATTATAAACCACATATTTATAAAACTTTTTATTGTTAGAATCCCCATCTTTGCCGTTTGTCATATCAGGAACCACTATCTCAATTTCTTCAATTTTTTTTGGAACCGGGTACCCAAATGGTCCACTGCCAGAGCATTCGCCCATCTCGAGTTTAACACAGCGATAAACTTCGATGAAATATTGAGGTCTGGATGCGTCGGTGGAAAAGTCATCTTTGTATATTGAAACCACTTCTCTTTGTGGTCCTAAAACAAAAGAATGAGGTATTGGTATTTGGCAGGTTTGAGTAAACTATATTTCTTTATTTTCTTCTAGATACAAGGCTACTACATATAATGAAAAGTCTGGTTGAATACCATCTGTTACACACTAGTGCTGAGTTAAACCAAATTAAACTACAGATTTATCTATTCACTTGTTTGAATTGTTTCAAGTATTATAATACCGTGCATGAACTCGTGAAAAATATATGTAAAAAAAACTAAAGCTTCGAATTACCTGTGTAAGATTCTACAACTGCTAGTATGATGAACAATAGCAAAATGTTCAGCCCAACGTGTTTGAAGTTTAAAATCTTGATATCTAAAGAACATGGATGAAAAAAATAATTTTATCCAATCTTCCAATTTATCAAACACAATTCAGCACCAAGATATGATCAAACTTGTATCCCGCTGTATTATGATTTGATTGAAACTTTATCAAATATTAGTATACACACACGATACAATCACTACTCAGCATATATTAAACAACCAATATCGTAAAATTATGATCTTATCTGTCTAACCGTTAAATGCTAATATATTTATTGACACGGAATTCAACTACAAACGTTTGAAAAGAAAAATAATCAAGGAACGCTCCAGAAATGCGCGATCGATCAATAAGCAAAGATCACGAGAAATTTAAGCTTGCTTTTGACATGTCACGAGTATGTACTCAGAATTGTCTTTCGAGCTCACTCGGAAACTTTGTTTATATAAAGGTGACTGCGTAGGCTTTAGAAACGGGGGTGAATTGGTAGATTAATTAATCTTCCTATAAAATATCCTTAATCATGAAGAAAATTGGAAAAAATTAAAGTGTAACCAATAGCTGTATCGGATACAGATTTCCTCCTGATTTACATAAACGTTTTTCTCAACTAAACTTGACGATCCATATATCGCAAACTAAAATTGGTAACCTTGATTACTTATAGATGCATTCATGTGTATCATGCAGATAAACACCCAACTTTCATGCTTTATTCATTGCTTAAACAATTCTCATTTTCACATCGACCTGAAGAACACTTACTTGCCCTTAACAAGAAGATCGAGGAACGTTTATCATTATATCATGGAAACATAAATATGCATACAAGTATACTTTGTTTTTGCATACAAAATGACGTAATGCACGTACAGACATACCCCATTGGCAAGCGAGGGCTGTGTCTATATACGTAGTCGTATCTGTTATGCAAAACGGACATATTCTCAACTGATGCTTTGCCGACTTCATAGAACGGCATTACAGCGATTCATTCAGTTTTACAAATTTACAAACTATTTCGACATTAAAGTACTTTACAACTTTATAGCTAAAAACCTGTTAAGACAGTTAAATAATTAACCTAAATTTTGTGCAGCAATTTGAAAATTACGAGAAAAAGCTACTATACTTCGGAAGAGAGAATGCATTTCAATATAATTTTCACTGTTGTTCTTAAAAACTGGCAACTTATGCTAATATTACTTGCCAAATGGCAGATATTGTGAAGATTAGGAAAATGATATCAATATCACTGTTAAATAACAATACCACTATATAAATATATGTTTGAGTGAATAAATGAACTTATGGTCAACTTAAGGAATAAAATTAGAAGCAAGATACATGAAAAAAAATTCTTTAAAAAGTCGAATTTCCACTTACCCGCCATATTTGTAAACTGGAATGACTTGAAAATCTGTCCTTGTCTTTGCATGAAATCCGTCCTTGTGCAGGTCAGCGATGGTAGTGATTTTGAACTCACAAACTTCGTGTTTATATGCCATAAAATTACACAATTTCGAAACTTGGTGAATTACCGCATTTTTGTGGTAAGTTAGTTTGGTAGCTATACATTTTGCTTTCACCCATGCAGTATGTACGTAACGTACGTCGGGTACACGAAACGAATCTGCCAGAATCTTTTCACCGGATTACGTGGGCGGTACTGAAGGTCAATTCAAACATTGCAAAAATTCATCTTACTTATCTTAGACAAAGAATACAACGAGATTCTGTGTCTTAGATCTGTTTTTCAGCTAGTGATACAAATCACTACCTTTTCAGGCAGTTGAGACAGAAATCACGGCAGCTTATTGGACGCCGCTATAGATATCATATTATTAACATTTCTATAAATAATTTCATGAAGGTTTTCTAAAACTATACTCTAGTTTGTGTATATTCACGAGGGTAAAAATATGCAAGTATCTGAGAAGAGTCGAAAGCAAGGAAAACCATCCTACTCTCCCTGCATGTGACCGAGAATTACATCAATAATTCAGTATTCGATTGATTGATTAAACAATTGTGCTACCGTCATGTGTAATACAGGAAGTAAACACATTAAATGATGGGTTTCAGTCTAAAGCTCTCATTCCACGCTTTTTCTCGAAGAAATGCGAGAAATCTGTACTGGGAAAGCGAAAAAGGTGGGAAAATTCCCTAGGAAATAGTTATTTTACTTCTTGACAAACTCTGTCAGTTAGACAGGTAACACCCACACAGTTCCAATATGCATGGGCAACTAAAATAGATCGTGATTGATGTAACCAACCGGATTTCGCGGACACAATTTCTCGCAAAGAATTTCACCGTTATGCAGGAATCAGGCCTTAAGCGCTTTCGCGCAGCAGTAGGTTGTCAATCTCTGGTTATTGAAGAGACCAAATATAATTTTCGGCATTATATTTTTAAATAATTTCGAATATGTAGCGTTGTCAGGCAGTATTTCGCGGCAAGTATATATTTACACAATTGAGATGTTGTTTAATTAACCTTGTATTCTCAAGAATGGATGAAATAAGCGAACTTCATTTATACTAGATTTTATATCTAATTATTTCTCTATACTAGGGTATTATATAGTTCTGCTCTCCTTAGGGGTCCAGTAAAGGTCATCTCTTATTAGAACAATATATTACAGCCGAATTAAGAAAACCAGCTTTGAAGTTCTCTCACATGAAACTGTAGTGAAATACACCCATCCGGACGAACTAATCTTTGATTTTTTGTTATTGAAAAACCTTTCCTTTAGCTACAGGGCTCTTTATGGTTTGAAGGAGGTGACATTCTTTCCGGAATTAAGGGTGTAATATAATTGAGTATTATATGACAACTCAAGGTCAGTTACTTCCAACAAAAGAGGTCTCGCATAGTCAGAGCGATCAAATTTCATGAAGCCATTACCAATTTCCCATCAAAATGTTTGCGTTTATTACAGTCATAATTTATGATCAAATGCGCTTTACATGTATTACGCTTACATACCTATATAATTACATACTGAATCCAAATTAAGACCGGTTTTGGAATATGCTGCCCCAATTTGGGGTGGCCTGCCACAATACCTTACTGACGAACTGGAAAGTATCCAGAATAGAAGCCTGAAAATTTTGGGTCTACCCCCTGATTCTCTTCAATCTCTAGAACAACGTCGGGATAAACTTTCAATTCGCGAGTACGAGAAAATCATTAATGACGAAACACACCCATGCAGGAAGTACATACCAGACATGGTGACGAACAAGTATGACCTAAGAACACCAAAAACTCTTCCCGGAATTTTCTCATACACTAAAAGGCATGAACTATCGTTCATTCCCATGCAGAACAAACTCATTATTATAGACAATATTTTTATAACTATTCCTACAATTTTTATCTGTACATATAACTACTAGACTACTACTTAGATTTTTACTGTAAATCCATTGTATTTTTGCACTAAGGATGGATCAATAAAACTATTATATATATACTTAGCCTAGACTATTTTATTCTTACAACAATTTAGCCCGCGTGCAAGCCCAGGTCTTCCCTCGGTGGGCCTGCACGCGGGCTAACAACAATTGTGATATTACTTTTCTCAAATTCATTAATAATTCATGAGTAATTCAGCCAATGATAATCACCTATTTGATCACAAGATGCCATTTGGATGAAACTTGATGAAAGTCACTAGTGTTTTCATCAAATATCTTAATTACGCATGCAAAATTACTTGAATAGAATTCCTAATTACGTTATGCTTGGTTAAGAATTCTATTCAAATCAGCAAACAAAACATTCTGTTACGTCTCGATTCATTTGAGAAGCCATATAAACAACTCGAGCTCGTGTCTCACCGGGATATCCAAACACTCGAAAACAATGTATGAAAACACTCGCGCTTCGCGCTCGTGTTCTCATACATTGTTTTCTCGTGTTTGGATATCCCGGTGAAACACTCACTCTCGTTGTTCATATATTACTTCTTAAATTAACTGTGTTTATCCACACCCACCCTGTCAACTTTCCCTGTGGGAGGAAACCAAAGCACCCGGAGAAAACCCACGACTTTCGGCAGAGCGTTGACTGACTCTTTCCACATGAGTCCGAATAGGGAGAATCGAATCTCAGGACTCAGAGGAGAAAGGCATTTCCTCTGATGACAGCGCCAATTACATGGATGACGTTTTGTGGAAAAATGAGAAACGGATGTGGAGAATTTTACTTCAGAAATATTTTGCATGGATTTGGGGCCGCTTTTGGTATATGTTAAGGTTAACGATGTGTCCGAGCTAGACTAGGATGGTTTCAGACTGGCTGGGTCATGGCAATTTTGATGTTTAGAGACTTTATCGCAGAGGTTGTTGAATTAATTGTATTCCCTATATAAGGAGTAAAGCATGGTTAGATCATATAGAAGTAATGCATGATATACATCTCCTTCAACGTGGGGCACTTTGAAGTGGTCTGCTGGTGTACTGAACTCGCACTGTGTTCTTGAACGTGGGCTACTTAATTAATTAAAGTGATCCGACGTTGTACAAAAGTCACTTCTGAGTTCATGCCCATGTTTAGATCATAACATGATCTTGAATGTCGGTTTCCCGCTTAGAATG